CAAAATACAAAAAAAAAAAAAGAGCAAAAGGATGAAAGGATGGTGGTTGCAGTGTGTCAGAGCTAGGTTATCAAGAAAACATGTCAGTCACAGGGTAAAGAAAATGAGAAAAATTGTAAAATCACATGGATCAATGGGTGGATAAACAGACTCTCAGATGTTACTGATGATTACAGGAAAGGGAGCTGGCTTTAAAACTAGATTTCCAGTTTACTAATTGACATTTCTTGAGGGTCTCCATCAGATCTTAGTCCCTTTTAAGCACTGCAAAACATTTCAGTAAAAACAAAGCTGGCAGAAAATGCTGCATATGTTACTCTTGCCAAATCCTCAGTGTGTATGGGTGTCTGATTTGCTACCTTAACCTAACCTCATTTCCATACCCTTTCAGAAGCCAAAGGATGCCTTTTTTAATCCTCAAGATTTTGACTTGTTCCCCCTTCAAACTTTTATTATTACTTTGAAATATATGTGAAATGTAATCAAGCATAATTTCCTGGAAATAGAGGTTGAGTGTTATGAAATTCTTGTTCCATTGAACTATGTGGTAAAAAGAAAGCTCCAGGAGGGGTGCCTTTTCATTATGCACACAGTGAAATCCTGCTTGCAGTAACATCAGACTTACCACTGAAATGAAATATAGAACTACCAAGTCACATTACCATACGCTCGTTGCATTTGGCATTGTCTTTAGCTACATTCCTTCAGAAGTAAAAGAGGACTGTTTTAAGCTGAGCCATGAATGATCACTGGGAAATGCTTAAATTGATCTGCAAGAAAACCTTGCACTTGGACTTTTGTTAACATCTTGTACATCAAAAATGTGCTCCTCTGTACAGTAAAGTACACTACTGGTTAACAACACGAAGCTGTGTAACAATAACTTTGCTCTTAAAAAAAATGTCAGAAACTGAAATGAATACAAGAAAAAGCAGTAACACCCTTTTAAATGGAGCCTGGGAGTTTAAGTGATAAAGAGTGATTTAAAACAAAACCAGCAGTGTCCTCAGACCAGGAAGTGAAACCACTGAAGGAATGTTATGGATTCTACTTATCAATCTTCCCACAGTAAGCACTGAGAAAAAGTGACCAAGTGATTTAATTACATCTTGCTTAGCCAGAGCTTACAAAAGTAGTGATTTTTAGTTAATTAAAATCTTGCAGTTGGGACAGCGAACTCCTAAACCCTTAGGAATTCAGTAAGTTTCAGTTCACCCTGTTTGCAATCTGCTGTACTCACTCTATTTCTGTATCTGGCGTCAGGCCACATCAGCATCACAAGTATTTTAAAAAATAAAACTCTTAAGTCTAGCTCAGCTCTTTCACTGACCTTTGAAAGAGTTACATAAGTTAAATCAGGTGGTTTATAATCTTTTAAAAGTTTTCACCTTTCCAATACATCAAGGTTTATTTTTTCCAAATGAAAAGGATATCATGAGAGAAGCAGAAATCATGGGCTCCTTGGAGGAACCTGTAATTTTAGTTACATTTATGCTAAAACACCAAGTTGAGCCTGTGTCTCTTCTTTCCTATCCAGCTGTCAATGAGAGATGGCTCTATTGGGTAAGAAAAGGCTTGATTAGATGGAGGAGATAACCATATCCAATAATGGAACTTTAACAAAAAAACTTTTTTAACATTCCTCCCCAGATTTTTAATTTTGAACACATCTTAATGACTTAATGATTACTGTAAAATGATTTTGTAGAGAAGAAGGAAGGAACATGAACAGAATTCTGCTGTATGAATCTTGTGACATACTGATGCCACTGTTCTGTAAAGAATGGGATTCTGAAAGATTCTGGTTTCTTTTCTTGTCAAGCTCCACCCACTTTTGGGTGTGTGTATTACAGGCCAAGTTAAGCTGCCTTCTTCTCTTTCCAATCATATTACAGCATTTGCATCAGCATTTACTAGTCCAGTGGTCTAGCTCTCAAATACCACTTGCAAATTAATTACTCTACTGACTATCATTGCTTCCTCTTTATTACAGAAGGGAAAATTCTTCTCACATCATGCCATCTGATTGGAAAAGGAATGCCCTTTCCTCTCAGACTTCACCTAGCACTCATGCACCTCTCTAATACACTTATCACGTAATGATGTTATCTGGATATATGTTACATCCCTCTTCTAGTCTGTAAAGTTCAGCAGGGAAGGACCAGTGGCTAAACTGGGCACTTCCTGCAGCATCTAGCACAATGCTCTGCATACAATGCCGGACTAGATTACAAGTTGACGGCACCGAGGAACCTGGAAACAATATTATTATGATTGTGGCTAATTCTTTCTTCTCTCCAATAGCTGGAGACACAGAAAAGACAGTTCCTGGTGGCCTTGATTGCTTCCACCTGAGAAACCAGATTCTCTGCCACACAAACAAAGCCCATTTAACTATTCCAGGCCAGCAAATTCCTAGGGCCATGGATATAGAGCTAAAGGGGACTTCAATGGTCATCTAGTCTATCCTCATTTTATAGACGAGGAAACTTGAAGCCAGGGATGTTAGGTGACTTGTCCAACATCACATGGAGATCAGGGTAAGAATGAGGGTGTGCATGAGAGGTGAGAATGGAACCCAGGTTCTCTGATGCTGGAAATAGTGCCCACTCTGCCCCCTTCAGGGAAAACTCAGAGGCTTGGCTATGATTCCTACAAACCTGGAAATTACAGAGAGGAAGGACAAACATGATTATCCAAGAAGAAGTACAGGCTTAACTTTTATCCTGCATATACTTTGTAAGTATGTGGTTAAGACTGCTCTTCAATGTCTTGTGCAGTTTTGATTGCAGAGACCAAGGTACAATGGATATACACTGAATACCTGATTCCTATACGGCACTGTACTAAGTCATGGTCAAAGACGGCCATCCATTAAAGGGCCCAAAGGCATTTCCCTCAATCCCACAAAACCTCAGATACCCATAGCAGGAACTAAGACTGGGGGACTTATATCTAGAAGAAATCTAGATAGGTCATCTAATTTAACCCCAATACTTTACAGCTGAAGAAACTAGGGGACAAAGGTTAAACAATTTGTCTGTCATAGGTACCATGAGCCGGGATCTGAATCTTGGTCCACAGACATCAAATGCAGGGCTCTTTCCGCTCTACCTTACTGCCTCCCATAAAACACGTGGACAGGGAAAACCCATTGAGGTGGTTGGAAGGCAGCATAATGGCGCCTGTGAGTTAGGACAATAGCATGGGAATCCATAAAACCAGTAGAGGTAGCCAAGGGCATAGTAGTGGTGACAGGAGCAATGAGTAGACATCACAGGACAATAGCAATTCCCACTCTTCATACTGACTTCAAGATCAGCATGATCATAGCATTTAATGGGTTATGGGCCTCGTGACTAAGTTACAGTTGCTGTCAGAAAGTTCAAGGCCTTTTAAGAATTGAAAAGAAAAGAAATAATTTTAATTCTGCATTTTAGGGATACCCCAGCTCCACTCCACTCTAGTTCACCCACTATCACGTACAAAGAACTGATTCTTCTTGGTGAAAATTGGCTGACCCTTAACCTATGTTTTCTATCATTTTTCATGGAGTCAAATCTGATTAGAAAAAGAGAATTCTGGGTCAGCTAGGTGGCCCAGTGAATAGAGCTCCGGCCTTGAAGTCAGGAGAACCCAAGTTCAAATTTAACCGCAGACACTTGACTCTTCCCAGCTGTGTGACCCTGAGCAAATCACTTAACCCCAACTGCCTCACCAAAAAGCAAAAAAAAGAAAAAAAAGAACAAGAGAGAATTCTTCTCCCTCACTCTTCCTCTTATTGATTGAACTTCTCTTTTAACATGTTCTTAAGCAAGGATGTAAGCACTTAATCTAGGTAAAGATCCACGGTTTTCTTGGTTTTTATGTAAAAACAGGATTAACTATATTCAAAACCACGGATGTTCATTTGCTTGTCACGCACATTTCCTGTCTTTGTTGACTAATTTCTAAGACTGGTTTAATTCTTTTATTTTTTAGTCCTTAAAGATATAATTTCATTATTAAAGGATAGATTCCATTTTGTTTTCCAAATGTATAACTTTTTTCAATTTCACACAGAAATTAGGCTATACAACCTCTATGTGGATAAACTATTAGGTTTTACCAACTTTAATTTGAGATACTGTTAGAAGTGTGGTCCAAAAATTTTAGACCACTGATCTTCAATCTTTTACCCTCTAGTTACTGGCCAGACACCAAATAAAATCTCTCTGTATGCTCCAGACCCACGATAGTTCATCTTCTGAAATAAGTTTTAGATGTTTCTTGATCTGCGCTAATTAAAATTAGCATCAATCTGGGGGAATAGTTTATTTTAGTATTGTGTGTCAGAATTCCTTTCATGGACTTGGTGGGAGAAAGAGAAGAAATTATCATTTAGGATTATTATGACCACACAATTAGGAAAGAGTATGAAAAAAGTAACTTAAAATACTAGGAAGCTCTGGAACTTCTGGGAAATATGATGCAGGTATAAATTATGTTTTTTCAAGCAAAATTTTATAAAGAGATTCCTCTAAAGCTCATTACCTCCAATAGACTCCCTTACCCATTGCTGGCCCTCAACTATCCCAGGAGAGGCTTTAGACAGAAGTGACAGCTATGTTTAATAGTTTTGATTTTTATCAAAGTGAGTTAAACCACACCTCTGAAAGCCTTTCCTGTTCCCCTGTTTACTGTTCTCTTCCTCCTCAAATTATCTTGTCTGACCTTGCCTGTGTACATGTTGTAGCTCTCAGTAGAATCTCAGTTTCATGACGGCAAGAACTCTCTGGTGTTTGTCTCTCCATCCCCAACCCTGGCAAAGGGCCTCCCACAAAAGAGGAACTTCATAAATGTTGGGGAACTAAACTAAATCTTTTTTTTTTAGTGTTGCTAGCATGAAATTTCCACCTATAAATCTGTTTTTAACTTAAAGTTTTCAATTTAAAAGCTCTGGATAAAGAACAGTCACGTCCAATGTCTGTTACCACAATAACTGCATACACTTTACTGACCTGATATAGGGCAATGCAGGATCCACATGGTGAAGAGTTATCGCAGTAATGTACGAAAAGATGAAAGCAGCAGCTGTCCAAATAACAAGGGCTGAAGGGAGAAAGCTGAGTCCTTGCTGAAACCACCACATCTCTATAGGACTTCTGAAGCAAAAAGGGAAAAGGTGGGAGAAAAATATCCAACATACATATAAGAATAAGTGGGTTTAATAAGTATGAGAGAGATAACCTCTCTTTCTCTTAGGTTGTCCCACCTGTTTGAAACACATTGTCTCATGAGAAAAAAAGAAATACAGAAATTCATGTACAAAATTACCATTATCTAATTATCTTAAAATGATCTCTTAAAGAGATGAAGATACCAGCTAGTGAGGTTTTAAATGATAAATTAAGATTGGTGGTAGGCAATAAGGAACCAACAGGGTATTATAATTTCAATACATACTAATGTTCACACGTGTCTATATTACAATATTTAATATTTAATAATTTAATAATAATATTTAACTCAAGTATGTATTTTTTTAATGTAGAAAACATTGGGTGGTGCCCAAGGATGAGGATTTATTGATCGGGAGCAATGGTAAATCAGGAGGTGAGGGACTCTAGACTTGGAACAAGAAAGACCTTACCAAACCATTACAAACTACTACAGGCCTCCTCTCATACTTCCCTTAGGACTACCTCTAGCAGTCTCTCTAGACCAATCTATTCACCATACCCTTGGTCCACTACTTATCATCCACTCCTTCTTTCTCTCAAGCTTTGGCCCTTATCTAGACTATCCTCACTGTCATAGCTCACCAAACTCTCTTCTTCTCAAATGAATTTTGAAATTTTACTTTTTCAAGTAACTTTCTCTAAGGTTAATTGGATAGGTATCAGTTATAATTTATATCACTCCCTCTTTACTAACCACTTAAATAAATGTACTTATTCTTTGTATTATGTTTTAATTTGTCTCTTTTCTAAAAGCATATCCTGAATATGAATGTGTACATTATTACTGTCTACCTTGGACTTTTTAGCAACTAAGGCCCTGACTTTAAAACTCATTTTTCCAACTTAGCACACTAGGCACAGAACAGTACTTACTCCTACAGATGACACAAAAAATATTTCAGGGAATTGAAGGGAACAAGCATTTGTATACTGCCTATTATGTGCCAGACACTGTGCTAAGCGCTTTACAAATATTATCTCGTTTGATCCTCGCAATAAGCCTATGAGATAGGTGTTGTTATTATCCTCATTTTACAGCTGAGGAAACTGAGGCAAATAGAAGTTAAGTGACTTGCCCAGGGTGACACAGTGAGTGTCCGAGGCCAGAATTTAACTCAGGTTTTCCTGACTCCAGGCCCAGTGCTTTATCCCCTGTGCCACTTAAGCTTCCCATGTGGCAACACAAAAATGTAAAAATACTATAGTATTCACTAGCAATTTTATATATATACCTATATGTATGTATATACATATGTATGTGTGTGTGTGTATGTATAAATGTTTCTCTGTATTGCCTAGTAGCTGAACAACGAAACCAAAATACAAGAACTATGAATTTGTACTACGATGCGGCTACTAATTTACAATTTTTGAAAGCCACAACCTTCCAAGCCTTAGTTTCTTCTGTAAAATAAAGGCAATAAAATAAGATACTTTCTCCTATAAAATAAAGGCAATAAAATAAGATACTTGCCAAAGTGCCCAAGCAGCAGTGACAGATGATCTGTTAAAAAAAAAAAAGCACACATACAATTCAATTACCTGTCAATTTTCCAGGGTAAGAGAGAGAAGCAGAGATGTGATTAATTAAAATATATTTAGCTTATCTGGCTTACAAAATATATTTGCTTATTTTATTCAGTTCTGAGTACAATACTTTTAAGAAATGTCATATGAAGAATAATTGAGGGCACCTGGGATATTTAGCCTGAAAAAGGATAAGTTTTCAATAGCAATCTTCAAATATCTGGAGGACTATCATATATAAGAAGAAGTAGGCTTATTCCATGTTACTCCAAGAAGAAAAATTAGAATCATCATGTGAAAGTTAGAGAAATGTAGATTTTGGCCCTGAGATATATGGAGTTAACTAGTCAATTCCATTAAATTGGCACAGCTATATTCAGCCTAAGGTAGGCACTTAGTCTTTACATGAACCTAGGAGTCAGATAACTACCTTCATAAATCCCACTAGAATTTACACAATAAGGCCCCCACATACTCTCAAATACTAACATGGACCTGTGATCTCATTGATGGAAGTGTCTTCCAACGTACTTAACTCATTCATACATGACCATCAGACGCAGCTCTTATCCATGTTCTTCCATATATTTACCACAAGAGGTCCACCCAACATACTGAAGGCCTCTTCCCTTTCTCCTGACATTATAAAGATACCAATGGAACCCTCTATCCATCCTTACTTCATCCCTCATCCTCTCCAGTTGGCCAGCTAATATTCTCTTATCATACAATTCCTCAAAGACATCTTTGACTCTTGTTCTTCTTTGAAGTTCTCAATGACTAAATGTTATAGCCAAACATCCACTATGTACTTTTACTTTGCCCTCTGTGTAATAATCATTTTTAGTTCTTTGGACACTTGTATTCCATGCTTCGTTGTTCTACAGCAATCCCAGTGGAATATTGTTATAAAGAAGGTGGGCCTTTGATTTCATGGAAAGCTCATGGACATTTTCAACCTGCTCTGTACCTCTTGTTCAGTTCTGGGGGAGCCCATTCATTGTTAATCTATACTGCCTGTCCCAGATAAAATATCCTGATAGACAAATTCTATAGGTTATCTATCCAAATGCATGTTGTAATCTGGGCAACAGACATGCTTCCCCTATTTGGCATGGGCAGGACAAACTCCAAGTGAAAGTTCTCTTCCAGAATGGACTCTGCACAGCTATGCAGGCTTTGATACAAGGCACACAAATATCCTCTGTCAACAGGAGCATAAGGAGCACTTCACCATTCACGGTAGGTGCTCCTCCACTTGAGCTCAGCTCTCTTTCTCCTCCATCACAGCAGTGATTACAAGGTCATTAAAAAGGACTGTTTTTACTGTTATATTATTCAGAGACTCCTGGGTTGATTTTAATAGATCAATGAGTCACCTTGTTGAAAACCAGCCGATTGTGTTTTCATAATCAACAAACAATAAATACACTTGAGATCTTCTATTCTTTGCCTCTTTCATTCAATTGTGAAATGGTAAAGAGGTGATCCCTTGGTGAATATTGCTTGTATACACTCATCAAAGATGGCCTCTACTTGTTAATAAATAATTCTCATATTCTGTATAAGTGGGAGAGTAAGGTAGGTCGTTGATGATTTATGTTATCTTAATTGAGACTTCATTCCAAATTTCCAAAGATGGCCTCTACTTGTTAATAAATAATTCTCATATTCTGCATAAGTGGGAGAGTAAGTAAGGTAGGTTGTTGATTATTTATGTTATCTTAATTGGGACTTCATTCCAAACTTTTGGTATTCATACATCGTGCATTTCAATCCCCCAAGGCCCTCACAATTATGGCATCCCCAGCACCGATCTTCTCTTGGTCCAATCTGACTGCTCTCTCCATCTTTGTTCTCTAGGGTGCTATTGTTTCCCCTAATTCATGTCTATAGTGTTAAGATAACAACTGTGGGAGTTTCACTCCACTCCCTAAATGGAAAAAACAATTTTTCATAGTAATTTTAAAAAACATTTTCTCTTTTTTTTGTCCTTCTACTTTTACCCTTGGGATGATTTTGCTTGGTTGGCTATCTTGACAAGATTTCTTTAAAATAACTTTGATTTCCACGGCTCTCTCTGCTTTAGAAGATGGTATCACTCACAATTTTCCATCATCCTTCTGCAAAATAACTTATAAAGAAGTCCATTTTCTTACTCAGTGTTGCCTTGGGCAGCTGTCTTTCTCTGTTTGGCTGATTCCAAAGGAATCTTTAGGGACTTTCTGGGATCTCTGCTGTGGCAATGAATTAAGATTGGTTAAACTTCTTTATAAAATTATTATAAGTGGTCCATGTCCATTTCCCATTTTGTCAATTACTTGATGAAATAGTTCAGAATTGAATTGTTTCAATTATACACTATACTTCTTTTCTCATTCTTTTTTATGTTTTACTAATTCTGATCATAACTCTGACAAGCTGGTGGTCTGTACACAGACAGCAGATTCAGGAATAAATCTCATCAATAACAAATCTTTTCTTCCTGAATGTTAAAATATAACCTCTTCTATTTTTTGCTACATGATTTGGCAATCGTGACATCTAACATCTACCAACTCTTTTCTCAAAGCAAGTGTTCAAAATAAAAAGGCACAAAGCTTCAGTTTAATTGGCCAGTCTTTTGCCTCTCTCATTCCTGCTTCTTGAACCATCTTTTTCCACCTTTGCACTTAACTCATCAAGTATCAGAGTATATATTGATTTCATTTGGAGAGTCTTAAATCAAGCTCTTGGTAGAATTTCTCTCTCTTCATACTCAATAGTCGATCCTGGTGTACGATTTGTAATTTCTTTCATACTTGTCTTTTTGCAAATACTTATCACTGGTACTGCAATATACAATGATTAAAGAATCCCATGAAGTAATGTTTTTTGTTCCTTTTGGGTATTTGATAAACACAATCTGCCACCTCCTTTTTTCGTCATCTTTATGAGTATCTCTTTCCATGCAATAGAAATTATTCTTCCCTCTGGTTTTATTTATAGCAAGAATGGATACATTTTGGCTCCTCCAGCCACATTTGCACTCTTTGGTCACCAAACCAGGATCTCACATTTATAGTACCAATAGTCAATGCTATGTTTAAAGAAAGTCCAAAAACTGTGCTGTGTTTGACACTCTCCTCCCCCTTTCTCACTTGACCACCATCATTGAAGGAGGAGCAAGATGTAGAGGACTGAAGGTCATGATGTACTTTTCTTTGCTTCTTTGTTACAACAGCCAAAAACTTATCACCAAGTGATCAGCTTGCTGGTGATGTACCTCTCCACAGTCAGACAGGCTGGTCCTCAGAAAACAGTTGGCCTTTTGCCCAAAACATGCTTATGTGCTCTACTACTAGCACAGCCTCAGACAATGCAGGGTCACTTCAACACCACAATGAGGCCCTGGAAAACGGACTTTGTGAGGTACTTCCTTATATAAAAAATGAAGCGGAATAAATTCAGGTTACCATGTTGCTACTAGTAAGGACTGCAAATCTGGATAAGGAAAGTAGATAAGGGAAGCTCTTTCCCAGTTATTTTCACATAAGTAAATTGGAAATTTGGCTGAGATATTCCAGTCAGGCAGATAAAGTAAAATTTTTAAAGTCCATTATGATTCAAGAGAATGAGCTGGTTGGTACAAGGCAAATGTGGCACGGAAATAATGTTTTACAGATCGATGCTCCATGTCCTTGCTTTACTACACAACTCTATGAGCCTAAACTCCAATTATGTTTTCTAAAACTCATAAAAGCAACTGAAAATAATGAATTTTCTATCTCGTCAGTTCTCTGAATTATTAAGAAGCATTAAGAAGATCATCATCAACAAAGATTAAGGGCCTACCAACGTGCCAGGCACTAAGCTAAAGGTACAAGGGATTCAATGAAAAGGCAAAAACAGGGCTCCTGCCAGCAAGGAGTTTACATTGTAACGAGGCAGAGAACAGGCAAGCTACCACATATATAAAAATCTATATACAGTGTAAATGGAATGTCATCCCAGAGGGAAGATTTTCACATTAAGGGTGGAGTAGAGGTGGGGATGGGGTAAGAGAGGGAAAGAAGTAAAGGCCTCTAGAAGAAGGTGGAATCTGAATTGAGTCTTAAAGCCAGGGAAGGAATGGAGGTGAGGAGAGAGAATATTCCAGACACAGGGGAAAGTAAGTAAGAAAATAAATAAATGAAATAGCATCTATCAATAAATAAAAGCCACGGATTTGGTAGACAGGGAACAGCAAAGAGGTCACTTTCAGTGTTATTGACACACGGAGTAAGTAGAGGGGAATAAGGTGTAAGCCAAAAAGAAGATTTCATAACTGCTCCTGGGTGTAACAGGAACAGGGGCAGTTCATTTGGGGAGAGCGGATGCAGTCAGCCCAGCACTTTAGGAAGATCATTTTGGCCAACCGAAGCAAGGACACCAATTAGAAGGCTACTGCACTCATCTGGCCATGAAGTGACAAGGGCCTGTATCAGGGTGGTAGCTCTGTGAGTGGAGAGAAGCGGACAAATACCAGAGATAGTCTAAAGGTAAAAATGACAATAATTTGAATATGTGAGGTGAATGTGAGTGAGGAGTTAAGAAAGGAAAAGATCATGAGTCTTGGGGAATGGGGAGAGGGTGGGGGTGGCCCTCAACAGAAATGAAGTTCAGAAGAGAAAGGGATTTGGGGGGATGGGGAGGAGATGAGTTCTTTTTTGGACACGTTGCACTTACGATGTCTAGAGTACTCCCAATTCAAGATTCCAACAGGTACATGGTGATGTGAGACTGCTGGTAAGAAGAGTGATTCCAGCTGGATAAAAAGATCTGAGAATCATCTGCATAAAAATGATCATTGGAACCATGGGGAGTTGATAAGATTCCCCCAAGCGAGACAGTACAGAGGAAGAGAAAAGGTCCAAGGGTTGACCTTGGGAGACACCCACGGTTAATGGCCATGAACTAAAGGCAGATCCAGCAAAGGAGACTGAGAAGGAGCAGATTCTCTGTCTCTTTTGAGACAGATAGGAGGAGAACCAGGAGAGAAGTATCATGAAAAGCTGGAGAACAAGTATTCAGAAGAGGGAGGCTGCCAGTGTTAAAGGCTACCGAGAGGTCAAAATGGATGAGGATTAAGAAAAGGCCATTAGTTTCAGCAGGTAAGAGATCATTTACTTTGAAGAGAACAATTTCAGTAGGACGATGAGGACCAAAGCCAGACTTCAGAGGGTTTGGAAGGCAGTGAGAAGAAAGGGAAGTAGAGACATTGATTGTAGATGGCTTTCTCAAGGTGTTTAGGCACGAAAGACAAGAGAAATATAGAAGACAGCTAGCGGGGATGGTCAAATCAAGTTTTTTTGAGGGTTTTTCAAGGATGGAAGAGGAATGGCATTTTTGTAGGCAGCAGGGAAGCAATCACACTAGACAGAGAGAGACTGAATATTAGGGAGAGAGATGATGGATGAGCAATCTCCGCAGGAAAACACAGGATGCAACAGGATCAATGGTGTATGTGGAGGGGGTTTGCTTTGGTAAGAAAGGCCACCTTCTCATGTGAGAGAAGGTTATGTGACACATACATGCTCAAGGAAAGCTTCCTGGCTTTTGGAAGGCATATTAACTACCAGCTCGCTAAAGTACTTAGCACACCAGGATGGTTTGTCAGAACAGTCTAAATGTTCTCACACTAGAAGTAACGTTTTCTATCTCATTCTCACTAAAGTCAACGTGCTTAGAAGGTTAAATAACATTAACAAGAAAAAAAGCCGGATCAAATGCTGCTTTTTAAGAGAGATTGGGGGGGGGGAATCACGATGTCAGTTCGATACCCGAGCCTGGGTATTTCTTTTTCACATCAGGCGTCTCACCTTATTATTCTGGGATGGGGAGCCAGTTTCCAACACCTCCTAACTCAAAGCCTCTCGGGCCTGGACCGTGGTTACGGGGGCCACCATTTACCTTTCCTTCTCTCTGCCTCCCCGCAGACGGAGAGCGCGGGGCCCGGGGAGCTCGGCTCAGCACCTTCCGCAGCCCCCGAGCATCCGGCAGATGCCGCGCGCCCGCCGGGCCGGGCAAGGTCAGCGCGCCAGGGCGATGCACATGGGCACAGGCTTAGCCGCCTTCCCAGGAAGGAGCAATCCGCGAAGCGGCCAAGGCCAAGGGCTGGGGCTCGAGCTCGAGCAGCCCCGGGATCCCCGGGCCGCGGGAGGGCGGTGGGGCAGCGGCGCCCCGTAACGACCCCGGAGACCCGCTCTCCTCCTCCTCCTCACCCGTCCCCGTCCCTGTCCCCAGCCCCGGCCTACCGTGCTCGCAGCACCCTCCGCCGCGGGCCGCGCTCCGTCCTGCTCACCCCGTCGAGCCCGAAAGATGGGGCTAGGAGTGGAGCTCGGGACACGCGCCCGGGAGCGCGCCCTGGGGCCGCCCCGCCCCCTCGGAAGCGAGTGCGTCCGCGCCCCCGCCTCCGCCACCGCCCACTTCGACCGCGTCTGCCTTTACGGCAACTGCGAAAGTGTCGCGAACGCGCCGCTGCCGCCGAGCAGAGTCACCCGGACGGCCCGAGTGGAAGGTGCAGACCTGTGAGGGGCGCCGGGTCTCGTGCGGGGTAGGGTGGGGCGGGGCTGGGGGAGCTCGCCGCGAAGTTGGGGGGGGTGGCGGGGAGGAGGGGTCGTCACTACTCGTGAGGGGAGACCGGAGCGGCCGGGGATGGGTGCCACGGGGCGGGGGTGATTCCTCCCGAGTGGCGAGCCCCGGGGGAGGGGAGGGACTGCGAGGGGAACCCCGTCGCGAGGGGCGGCGAAGGGGGAGGGGCCGCCGCGCGCGTGGGAGAGCGGGGGCCTGCCGGGCCACGCTTCCGTGTCAGCCGCCCGCCGGTAGGGAGGCGACCTTGTCTTTGCACGTCTGCGGAAAGGGCCCCGCCAGCCTGGGTGCATCCTGTACCTGGGCGGTCTTCCTGGGCCGGGTGGTGCTGCTTCTTTCCCTGTCTCTCCGGCTCCTCCCTCACTGTCTCGTCTCTGGACCTTCTGTGTCTGTCTCTTTTCTGTCTCTGGCTCTTTTCTCTGCGTCCTGTCTCTGTGTCTTCTCTCTGGCTTTCTCCTCTGCCCCTTCTCTCTCCTTTCTCTCTTGCTCCTTTCTCTCTCCCCCTTTCCTCCTCCCCTCCTCCCCTCTCTCCCTCCCCCTCTCCCCTCTCTCCCCCTGTCTTTCTCCTCCTCCCTCCCTCTGTCCCTCCTCTCTTCCTGTCCTCTCTCTTTTTCCTTCCTTCCTTCCCTCTCCCTTCTTCTCCCTCACTTTTAAGAAATTCAGTCAGTTTTAAGGGAACTGCGATTGATTGCATGCCAATTGGGTTCGACTTCAGTGATATTCTTGGAAAGAAGGGACCAGCGATCTGCCAAAGTCAGCCAGTGTTCCCGGGATCCCTGGACAAGTGGGGCTTTGAGTTTGCCTCATGTCTACCGGGCTTGGCTTTTGCATCTTGGTGTAGTTATACAGATTCTCTCCAACAGAATCTCTGTGGATTCTGCCACTCACTAATAACTATAAGATCTCCTGGGTTTCTATTTGAAAACTCTTGCTCAAGAATAAAAATCCACATTGCAGTCACCTTTGTGGTGGCAGTCTCATAACATTTCATTTAACAGACATTTGCTGTAATAATAATGACTTACATTTATAGAGGCTTTAAAGTTTCCGAAGTGCTTAGGTAGACCGCATTATTGGAGGTAGCTAGGTGTTGTAGTGAATAGAAAACAGGATTTGGCATTAGGAAGTACTGAAGACCCCCTACAGACTTAATTAGCTTTGTGATCCTGGGCAATGTCACTTTAACCTCTCAACAGCAGTTTCCTCCTGAAAAATGAGGTGATAATAATAGCACCTACTTCTCAGGGTTGTTGTACAAATCAAATGAAGTGATACATAGAAGCACTGTACAAGTGTTAGCTTTTGTTATTACTGTATCATTTTAGAGCCTGTGCTCAAAAGGTCCTGTGCTAAGTGCTGTAGGGGTATTACAAGACATACCGAAGCACAATCCCAAACCTGTAGGGGTTAAAAACCAAACAGGCAGTTACAAAACACAAATTACCATACTAGGGGGTATGTAACAAGTACTATAAGAGTAATAGTTGGGCGCAATCTCCAAAAGTTGCTGAAGTTCAAAAATGATTTTGCTACATTTTCTTTCTATGTTGTCAATTTGTTGCAGCTTACATTCCAAAAGTGGAAGAGCTTTAAAAAAAAAACAACAAACCAACCAACCCCCCACCAAAAAAATAAATAATGCTTGTTTAGCACCTAAAATAAAATGTTCAGACATGTCTGATGTTTGGTTCTAGGCCAAATGTCCTTACATTCTTCCAAATATGACTATGGCCCCATATACTCATTTCTCTTTTCCTCACTGCAGTCCCCATTTAAAGAGGGAAGGAGGATAGCTTGATTGAAAGAAAACTGGTCTAGGAGTGAGGAGATCTAGTTGTAAGTTTTCTACCAGCTCCAATATTTTATGGAATTTAAAATTCATATGAAATGATCTGTAATTAATATATTCACTCTGCCACTCACTAGCAGTGTGTATCATCTTAGGCAAATCATGTAATTCTCTGGGCTTCAGTTTGTTCGTGTATAAAAATGAAAGCTTTAAATTCTCTAATCATTAAAATACCTTAAAGCTTTGAAGATTCTCTGACTATTCTTTAAGCTAGATCAAGCATTTTGACATTTTTTTAGGGTTTATCAAACTAGGGGTCTTTATCTGTTTCCATATGCTTCCTTGCATGTGTTAAGTACTTTTAGTCAGTAAACATTTATTAAGCACCAGCTATGTGCCAAGCACTAGATAGACACTTAAAAATTCAAGGGAAATTTCATGTTATATTGGAACTAAATTGTTGTACTTTCAATACAAGCCAGCTGGAAATCCTTTTATTTTGTGTGTGGAGCTTTCTAAATAATACTGAAATGAAATTTCTCTGTTTTTTAACCATTTGTCTTTGTCATTTTTGTCATGTCTCTGATAGCCTGTGGTGATTAATGGCTTCTTTCAGCAATCTCCCAAAAGTCGAAGACATCTACTAATTAGCCAACCCTCTTTGTAAATTCTGTACAACATACTGCTAAGTCAGTGCAGCTCATAAAAACAGTTGCTGGAGGTCTGCCCATTTTCAGGAGGAGGAGTCCAGATCCCTGGCATCCAGGCATAGGGGGATGGGGATGCTGGAATGACATGCCACAGGTTGGGTACTGTGCTATCCTGCTTTATGGTGTAATAAATATAAAGTTTTTTCTGGTTTCAGTAATTTGATGTATTTCAAGTGTTAATCTTGAAGTTTACTTGTAGGTATCACATATCCCATTATTCCCAACTACTATTTATTACCTTCACTAAATTTGTGATGACATGAAATTTGGGACTGAGTTTTAAAGTATTCAGTTCTTTAATATGATGATTTGTGAATCCTAGATTTAGGTGGATAGTTTTGTTTTTATTAATTGCTCAAGAAAATGATTTTGTCAAATACATTGGTAATGAAAGCCTTGAGAAATAATTGGACCTAATTTATTATAAATTATGTGATCACAGGTTGCATTTATTTTCCTAGAAAAGTTTGTCCAAACACAGTTTCTAATAGATAAAAATCTAGGTCAGAGAAAAAAAAACAGAAGGAAAGTATCAGTTTATCAGATTGTCCTGCCAAATGTACAAACTTAAAGCCATTCGGATCAGTTGCTCTTGTGGCTGTCTCAGGGCCAAAAAGCAGGCCAGCTGCTTCCGTTTTATCTCTTTCAGCAGTAAGAGAAATTGAATAATAATAAAATATGAAATCAGTTTGTCGAGCCGAGTTTTCACTCTAATTTTAAATTAATTTCTTTAAAAGTTGCTTCCATGCCCCCACCTAATATGTAAATTAATTAGTCAGACTGGAGACATTTATTATGAATCTTCACTCCTTGATCCTTCCAATTTTAAGTGCTCTCTGCTTCCTCAGTCAGATTCTCCCCAATCCCAATAGAATGTAAACTTCTTGTGGGTGAGGACTATGATGTTTTGTGTTTTGTAGGGTAGAAGGGAGGGGAATGTTGTTTATACTGTGCCTTGAACAATATTTGCTTAAGAATTTCTTTGTTGAATTGAAAAATGTGTCAACTCAGAATTATTGGATCAGCAATTTGGTCTGAAGCAACCAACAGCAACCAGTTTAGGCAGTAACCTAAAGTGAGTTGTAATTTAATCCACTGTATGCTAGTTGTGTATGAAGGAATATCTGAGTAGCTGGAAGTAAGGAGGTGGCTCCGATTTTGTACCCCCAGTTGAGAAACTAGGGTGTTATTTTAATATTTTTTTCTTTTCAGGGTATTCCCATTTCTTTCAGTACTACCTGCCATCTGTCTTTCAGGTAGAGAATTTTGAAGTTTTGTTTTGTTTTTTTTTCTTTTCTAGCTCCACCTTGCAGATATAATAATTTGCTATTTCTTTACTGTTTCTTCCTGCTCTTAAGGCTTTCATTCACAGATCCCACCTATTTAGTTTTCTCTCTCACATTTCCTTTTGTTCAAGTCAGTCCATACGTACTATGTACCTTCCAGATAAACTTTCTGTCCTTTCTCATCCCCATCTGGAATGTTTACTTCCCTCCTCTCCACTATTATAAATCTTATCTTTCCTTAAAGTCTGGTTTTAAGACCTATCTCATCCATGAAGTCTTTCCCTAAATAACTCCAGCTCAGTATTCTTTTCTTCTCTGTTCCTGTAGAATTTACAGTCTGCTACAAAACATCAAGTTTGATTGATGCCTTGTATTCTCTAGTTGTTTTCTGTATTATTTCTCCAACAAGTGTTGAAGCTCCTCAAGGGCAAGACCATGCCATCTGCTGTTATTAAATAATTTTACATCCTTCTGAGCACCCAGTGTGCAGTTTTTGGACATGGTGTAGTTGTTATCAATGTTTATTAAATGCTTACTGAGTGAGAAAGGGAAGGAAGCCCACAGGAAGAATTTTAAACAACAAAAATTAAAGGGCAGAGGAAATGTAACCAAGAAGCTTTCCTCCAAACTAATGATGTTGTCCTTTGATCTTTCTGCCTGAAAAATAGGGTTAAATTGGTTCTCTCAGCACCTCAAATTTTTGATGGAAACAGGGATGGGACTTAGGTTTTTTTGTTCCCTTTCTGATTAATTTATCATAAATTTTTAATTTATGTGTTTTTTGGGTTATTTTGCATCATTTACTCTTATACCTCTACATCACCATCCCTACCATTGACCCCTTGATGTTACAAAGAATAGTTAAATGAAAACAATAACATGGCATTGGCTGATCTCACCCAGAAATTCTTAACTCTTTTGAGAGAAGGAAGGGGTACTGTTTGTGGGCTTGTGGACCAAATGCTCCAGAACCAAGATTGGTACAGTTAATCTGGGGCCATTTGTCATCAGGTTCTTATTTTTGTTGTTATAGGTATTGTTGTGGCCCTGCTTGCTTAATGCTGCATTTCTTCCTACAAGTCCTCCTGTGTTATTCTGAAGCATCCTCATCATTTCTTATAGTAATCGTATTCTATTGCATTCATGCACCACAATTGATGTGCATCCATTTTGTTTATATTTTCTTTTAAGTATAGAGTTTTGCTATGAATGTTTTCTTATATGGGACTTTCATGGCATTCTTAATTTTCTTTTTACATAAACTCCTCAGAGTTTCATTTTAGATACAGAACAGTAATATGCAGGTATTTGTTTTTCTTCAGATAAAAAACAAGCAGATAACAGAAGACAGGAGCTAAAGATCCATGAGTGGACATCGATCAACAAGAAAACGATGTGGGGATCCTCACCCGGAGGCCCCTGTGGGCTTCGGGCATGTGAATGCCACAGGATGTGTATTAAGTAAGTTGCTTCAGTTGCCTACCCCACCATTATCAAAACACCAGCTAAAGCGCCTAGAAGAACACAGATATCAAAGTGCTGGACGATCCTTGCTTGAACCCTTAATGCAAGGTTACTGGGAATGGCTAGTTGGAAGAGTTCCATCCTGGATTGCCCCAAATCTCATCACCATCATTGGACTATCAATAAACATCTGTACGACTGTTTTGTTAATATACTATTGTCCCACAGCTACAGAACAGGTAAGAGGGGTGGCTTAATAGCATCAGATGTAACATTTGTTACAGATGAAAAAGAAACACTATAGTTACAGTTAAACATTACTTGTTTTGGTTAGGGAACTAATGTGCAAAAATACATTCATTTTTGTGTCAGAGGATCTCTAAAGAAATTTTTAATGAACACTTTATCTGTAGTATTGAGATTGCTGAATAAAGTACTAAGATAATTAAACTTTACTAGAATTGTACAAGAAATCTGTATTGGTTGCAAGAGACTTGAGGTGGATGATTTAGCTATATTTGCAATGGTGTCACTGGGAAGCATTTATTAAGTGCCTACTCTGTGACAAGCACTGTTAAGCATGGGAATAATGAAATTAAACCTAATCACAATTTACATTCTAACAGTGCAGAGAACAAGTGTGTGTATGTCTGTGTATGTACATATAATAAATATAAAGGGAATAAGTACAAAGCAGTTTGGTACAGAGAGCCTTAGCAGGTAGGGGAGTCAGGAAAGGCTACATGTGGAAGTTGTTACTTACTCTGGGTCTTGAGAAAGGGAGGGATTCTGTGATGTGGAGTTTAGGAAGGGTATGATTTCCAGGCATGGGTGTAACAGTCCATGTGCAAATGAAAGAACATGGGGGATGGAATGTCATGTACAAGGAACAGAGAAAACACCAGTTTGGCTAGATCACAGGGCATGGAAAGAGGGTCCATCAATGCTAGAAAGATAAGTTGGGCCCGGGGAATAACTGGCCTTAAAAGCTAACCAGAAAAGTTTGTACTTAGAGGCAGTCGGCAGCTACTGGAGTTATTTGGGAAAAGAAAAGGAGTGGTATGGATATTAACTAGTCTTTTGTTTTTAATCAAAGGGTGAAAGTGTCTTTGGATATCTTCCTGTTGCTCTTACTACACTTAAGGTGACTCTCCCTTGATCTGTTGCTGTGATTCTGGAAGTGGGGAAAAATAAGCCAGTGCAGTAGAATTCCTGTTAAGGGGGACATGGCAGCCTCTGACAAGTAATCTCCCTAGCCCCACTTGGTACTAATGACCCTGTGCCGACTGCTCCCTCTATCACCAATCTTTCCTTTAGGGGAGAGAAGCAAGGATTAGGCTCTAACCTGAGCAAGTAAATCAATAGGTTTATTGCTGTATTAGTAGTAGTAAGTTTATATTAAGTTTCCTAGTTCATGTGAACCAGTGTTGCTTTACATGAAGAAAGAATTGAAAATACTGTGCTTGGCATGAGCAGAAAGATGGCTCTGAGCACAGCCCTTGCTTGATATGGTGTAGCTTTTGCCTACAACTCGCACATGTAGTTGTTGAATCACGATGTCTGCTTTATTTCTGGCAATTTACTAGTTCTAGATCCATCAAATCATGCTATGGGCTATCCAGCATCTCTCCATCTTTTCCAAAAGGACAGCATGAGATATTTTTCTACAACATAGGTAAATTCTATGTACAGAATTTTCCTGATTACTATTTTAGTAAACATCCATGTTTGTTTGGGTTTTTAAAAAAAAAAAAAGGAAATAAGGTTTGGTTGATCTGACTGTGTGTTCACCATTTCCTTGTCTGAATTTTCTCTAACTGCCTGTTTAAAATATTCTACAACTTTGTGAAAAATCAAAGTGAAGTACATTGACCTATTATATCGTACAGGCTGTCTTCACCTCTCTTTTGTGATAATTAGGGCAGCATTTAGTTTTCCTCAGTCTTGTTATACCTTCCCTGTTACCTTTTGTTGGTTGTTTAGTTGTTAGTCTTGTCCTATTATTTGTGACCCCATTTGGGATTTTCTTGGCAAAGATAGTGGAATAATTTGCCATTTCTTTCTCCAGCTCATTTTACAGATGAAGAAACCAAGGCAAACAGGGCTAAATGACTTGCCTGGGGTCACACAGTTTTATAGTGTCTGAGGCTGGATTTGAACACAGGTCTTCCTGACGCCAGGCCTGGCACTGAACCATCCACTACACCATCTAGCTGGCCTTCCTGTTATCTACGCTTATTTAAAGATCACTGATGGGCTCAGCAGTCATTTCAACCAGTTCCTGAGGCTAGTCATCTGGGCCATGGATGACTTATATTGATCAAGCTCAGCTCTCAAGATCTCTTTCTGTCTCATTACTTATCTTGAGTGTCAGCTGTATAATTGTCCTCTGATAATTATATAGTCATACTCCAAAAGTCATACTCCTTCTCAGAAACAAAGTGGAAATTGAGCATCTCTGCTTATTCTTTGTGGTCAGTTTTTGTCCCATACCCCCTAGAGCAACAGGGAAGCTTTTAAAAAACAAACCAGCCAACCCCCAAACCCTCTTCATTGTCCTGGATTTGCTTGCCAGCCTTCACTTACCTAACCAGTACTTCAGTCAGTGTTAATTAAGCACCTGTGGTAGAAACTGTGCTTAGGTGCTGAAGATACAGAGACCATAATGGGACATCTCTGCCTTCAAGGGACGTGTGTTCTAGTGGGATGGGTACTATGCATAGATAGATACAAATGAATACAAGGTGGCCTTCAGGGGAAGATATTAGTGGCTGCTGGGACCAGAAGGGTCTTTGTGGTATTTGAGCTAAGTCCTGAAGGAAGCTAGAGATTCAAGAAGTAGAAGTTTGGAAAAAGAGAGTCATTTCAACATGGAAAAAAGGTGGAAAGCCCAGAGACATGAGATGAAGGGACACGTATGAGCAACAGCAGGAAAGCCATTTTGGCTGGACCATAAAGGAGTGATGTAATAAAATAGGAAAATAAAGGTAGACGGATCATGTGTTGAAGAGCTATATGCCAGGTGAACTTTTATTTGATCCTAGGGGGCAGCATAGTGTACAGAGCACTGGATGTTGAATCACAAAATCAGAGTTCAAATCCAATCTCAAAAACTTATTAGCTGTGTGACCCTGGGCAAGTCACTTAACCTCTATTTGCCTCATTTTCCTCAACTGTTAAATAGGGGTAATAATGGCACTTACCTTATAGAGCTCTTGTGAGGATCAAATAAGTTAATATTTGTTGAAAAGCAAAAACTTAACACAGTGCCCAGTACAAATGGTTACTCCTTTTCTTCCCCCTTCCCACCCTGTAGACAAATTGGCAACCACTAGAATTTATTGAGTAGTAAGGTACATTGTAGGAAATCCATTTTTGGTAGCCTCTTGGAGGATGGATCAATGTGGAAAAAGACTTGAGGCAAGGAGGACAATAAGGAAGCTATTGCAGTTGTCTGGATGAGAGGTGATAGAGGCCTGAACTAAGAGGTTGGCTGTGTGAGTAGAGACGAGTGAGATGTTTTGTAGGTAGAAATAGCAAGACCGGCTGGCATGAGGGAAATTGAGGACTCAAGGACCACACAACTGACGCTTCTCACAAGACTGTGGGTCATCGAAGATTATAGAGCTAGAGCAGCTGAACTTAAGGGATGTTTAGTGACTTGCCTAAAGTCACACAGATCTTCATCCTCAGTTACTGACCTTGCTTTCATCTTTGTATGTTCTTTTTAAAATCTTAAGTGGGTGGCCAAGTTCCCTGTGCATCTGTCTCCTTATACAGCTTTCCTTTTTCCTTTGTCAGAATTGTTTCTCTTTGTGTCTTTAGAATTTTATTCTTGAGAACTTCCTTCACCTCCTAGCCTGACTTTCCCTGCAGAATTTTAAGCTATGGGATCCTTGCTCTGCACCCTTGAAATTTTTTCTCCCAAAATCTAGGGCACAGGTTAGCATGTTTCTGATTTTCCTCCATCTTTCTATCAGAAACTCTGATAGAGTTGGCTACTTCAAACCAGGGTTCTCGTGATTCCTACCCCAGTAACCAATAATATCCTGTTCATGAGAATCAGATCCTCGATAGAATTTTATCTTAATAATTCCTCTCCCATTTGAGGAAGAAAGTTATCATTACTATAAATCAAAATATTGTCCACTGCTTCTCTCCTGGCAGATGTCCGTATCGTGGAAGTCTTCCACCTCCATTATATCATTTTTCATGGTAGGCTTGTGATCTGGTACCTGGACTTAATTATCTTATTTATTTCTTCTTTCTGTGGTGGTCTCAACAGGATGACAGTATCACTTCTTTTTCTGCCTTTTTTGTTGTCATTCAGTTGTTTCAGACCCTTCATGACCCCATTTGGGGTTTTCTTGGTAAAGGTATTGGAGTGGTTTGCCATTTCATTCTTCAGCCCATTTTACAAATGAGGAAACTGAGGCAAAGAGGGTAAAGTGACTTTTCCAGGGTCACATAGCTAGTAAGTGTCTGAGGTCAGATTTGAACTCAGGAAGAAGAGTTGCCCTGACTTCAGGCCTGGCGCTCTATGCACCGTGGTGCCACCTAGCTAGCCGCCCCTGCCTTCCTTGATCTTTACCTAAATGCTATCTACTGTTTCCTCTCCTTTACTTCCTGAATTTCTTTTCACATCAATATAGCTTTTTGATACACAGTGCTACTCCTTGACTTTTTACCTATTTTGTTATTTTGAAATAAGATTCCCCTGCCCAGAGCCAAATTCCAGTTCAATTCAGCAAACATTAAATACATATCATGTGCCAGATGTTGTGCTGGGTGCTGGGCATACAAAGACAAAAATGAAAGAATCTTTGGCTTCGAAGTGCTTATATTCTACTGAAGAAAGAAACCAACCTGTAGCCAGAGGAGTAATTCTGACATTTTTACAGAGTGCATACAGGGTAATTTTTGGGAAGACAGGAAGAGCCCTCACAGCTTGAAGCACCGCAAAGGGCCTTCTCTGGAAAGTAGCACTTGAGCCAAATCTTGAAGAGAACTTGGAATTCCAAGAGGGAAGTGAAGAAAGAACATTTCACGGATAGCAGTGGAGATGGAATTTCATGTAGACAGGGCAAGAGTAAGCCACTTTGGCTATTAAACAGTTTGTGAAGGATAATAATTTGATTAGATTAGAGCCAGATTGCAAAGGGTTTTAAATGACCAACAGAAGTATTAGTAGTTGAGTCTAGCGGCAGTAAGGTGCCACTCAAGCTGTGCATTTTAGCCTTATCAATTTTGTAACTATTTGGAGGATGAGCCTAATTAGGGGATTTTTGCAGTAGTCCAGGCAAGAAGTAGGTTATGAGGGCCTGAACTAGAATGACAGCTGTCAGAGCGGAGAGAATGGAATGGATTTGGGAGAGTAATGGTAGAATTGGTTAGATGTGGAAGGTAAGGAAGAATGATGCATCTAAGAGAAATGTGAGAGTGAACCTAAAAGGACAGTGGTGCCCTTGGCAGGAACTGGGAAGTTAGGAAGGTTGACAGATTTCATGAGAAAGGTCCACTGAGCCTTAGACTATAAGGCCCAGCTTACCTCCTCAGATGAGAAGGGTCTCATTCTGTAGGTTAGACTTTTATCAGCTATTTTGCTAAAATCTAGATAAAGTCAATCCTCAGATCTACCAATTGATTAATGCTGTCAAAAACAGCGAGAATGAGAGTCCTCAGGCATAATTTGTTCTTGCTGAGGCCCTCCTGGCTCTGAGATTACTGCTTGCTTTTCTAAGGTACTCTGTCAAGTTCCAGAATTTTGCAAGAAACTGTGCTATGATTTACAGATGCCACTCTCTTTCTTTTTTTGAAAATCAGGACTATATTTGTCCTTCTTTGGTGGTCCCTCATTCTTAAAGGTCTTACAAAGGTAACTGACAGCTTGCATATCTGCCGGTTCTGTCCTTACCGAGGAGGTAGTAACTTGAAGTCCTCAGTGGCAGCTAGATGCTTTTTTACAAGCTCTAGCTTTACTGTACATAAAGCTGGGGTGGGTGTTGGGATTCTTAGCATATCAAAATAGCTTATTAATTTGTTGTTAATATAGCAGCTTGTCACTGTAAGAGGATAGTGTTGAATATTTTATTAAAAACTAAATTTTACAAGATCAAGGATAACCAAATATTTTGTCTTCAGAGTTTAGGGGTAGTAATTTAGGGTAGTAATCCCTCTTATAATTCTATTCATTTAAAAGTGCCACTATCAATATTATTCTCTTCTAATTGTTTGATTCTGCTAAGTATAGCCAACAAACATTGTTTATTAGTAAGTATGTATGAGTAATATTGAAATAACCCCCAGATTATGGCTATGTATTTATACTTGTTAATTAACATTAAATACTTAAATATTATAAATTTAATGTCTACCAACAAAAAGAATTAGTCAAATAAACATACAAAACTAGGGGCAAAATCCTGCTCCGAATTCCTAATGCAGTGCTCAGTGAAGCAACATTTTGAGAAATGTATAAAAAATTTTACCAAAGGCTATTGAAACAACATATTCTTAGGTGCGTGAAGGAGTGTTAATTAACATCAAAGTTATTTTGGCTAATTCTACCATTATTTTGTAATATGAACCTAACTTAAAGCTAATACCAAACATCCTTTGTCATAAAGGAAAGTTAGAGATTATTAAATAATTCATAAAACAATAAAAATTGTTCTTGATGTCAGTTCTTTTTGGGGTTTTGTTTTTGTTTTGTTTTGTTTTTTAATAACAGATCTAGAAAATGCAACTTGATGGTAAATGGTTTGAGAGAAAAATATTAACTAGGTGACCTGAGGGAGAGTGATGTCAGGCAGTAATAGAAAAGAAGATATAAACAAGTGTATTAGCACTATGAAGATTGATTTTTTAAAAAAGGAGAAGAAACTTTGAGGGAAATCCATTTCATTAACTTATTTTTTTCCTACATTCATAACTGTAGTTTCATATCTTGAAAATGCCTAGATTGATAGTTACAGTTTTATGCTTGACAAAATACTAAAATTTATAAGCAATACCACATCTGTAATGTAAAGGATTGCTTATTGGAATTTTCACTGAAATTATAGCTTATTTTTAAATGTTATTTTCCCCCAGAACTTTTTTTAGAAACTTAAGTGATACCAAGTGTTACTTAAATTTTTCATTGTGATTGACCTGTGTAGGAACCTGTCTGTGCAAGGTTTTTCAGGTTAGTTAAGATAATGGATTTAGCAATTTTGTGAACACATCAACATTTCCTATATTCAATGTGAGTTCATTCATGTATATGGCCTTCTCAAGATCTTATCTATCCTACAGTGACATTCATCTTCACATCTGATAAGATTTTTAATGAGGCACCTGGGAGGGTGGGGTGGGGAAGGAAGGGAGAAACACGAAAAAACTTAGGTTATTTTGAATGTTGAGATTCTAAGCTTCCTGCCCTCTTGGGGAATTGATAGAGAAATAAGGAATGCAGTAAATAGAAGGAAGCTCCCACATTCCTATCCTGATTCATACATTTTTCATAAGAGTGATTTGACCAGGACCACAATTATACAATTTGTTCAGTTGACAGCACTGATGTCTTCATGTATGATCACAGTTACCCCTTACAAAGGTCTGTCACTGTTTATAATCTAGGGAAATAAAGTTCTGTGTATGTTCAAGTAGCTTGAGTTTTATTTGTCACTACGAATAGCAAAAAACATCCTCATAGTTACATTTGGAAGTATCTGAGAAAATATCAAGTATTGGTGTGTTGCCTCTTGACAAATGTTTGTTGAACTGATTTGGTGATTTTTAAAAAATAAGTCTCAAGAACGTGAAAAACATGTGCCCCCAAAAGCCATAAAACATCTGCCAGCATCCTTTTAAACACACACATACACATACACACACATGTGCTGTATAAAAAAAATATACAATACTGCTTTCTAAAAATGTTATGACCAACTACTATAATTTCTGCTGTGAGAAAAAGGAAGCTGTGTCTTGAAAGTGTGACTGTAAATATGTAGAAATTAATGTTCCATTCTTTCTAGATTATTTGTTAATAATTAGGATAGCGAGAATAAGGTGTCTTTACCTGGCATCTAACTATTGATTCTTATGTTTAATAAACTCAGTACCTTTCTTATTTTCTCTCTTAGGCACCTCTGTGGGCATATATTGCCTGTGCATGTGGCCTTTTCATTTATCAGTCTTTGGATGCTATAGATGGGAAACAAGCCAGAAGAACCAACAGTAGCTCTCCTTTGGGAGAACTTTTTGACCATGGCTGTGATTCACTTTCTACAGGTATTGCATGATATTCATTCTTACTTGCAGGCACGTTGTATGGATGATAGGTTAAAGGCATGTGAGGAGCAGAGTTCAGAAAAATAATGCTCTGCAACCTAAGTGTTGTAATACATGCCAGACCAAGTAGTTTTATATTCAACTTGAGTGGTTTAGAGGATGAATTGAATTGTTTGTCATTGGGACTAATAATGAGTTTAGAAATGCACCATAAAACATTTTAAAATTCAATTGTTTTTAAAACAATTTAAATTCACACTGTTTTTTTGATTATTGGTTTTAAACTTTTTTTTTTTAGCGAGGCAATTGAGGTTAAGTGACTTGCCCATAGTCACACAGCTAGGAAGTATTATGTGTCTGAGGCCACATTTGAACTCAGGTCCTCCTGACTCCAGGGCCGGGGCTTTATCCGCTGTACCACCTAGCTGCGCCAAGGTTTTTAAAACTCTTAAGATTAATAATTAGGTGGCCTAAAGTTATAGTTGCTATCAAATCAGGCCCCCTAACAAGGGCTTAGTTCCCCTTTTCTCTTGTAACTCTACTACGTTTTAAATAAGTTTCCCATTGTCTAAGTTAGGGTAGTAAAATTGGGAGGGCCAGACTTGTGGTGTCATTGGTGTGGGGTACACCCAGTGTTAAAATTCCCTCTGCCAATGCAGATCAGCAACTCCTCTGTAACTTAGGGTGTTAGAGAGTAGTGTGGGGCACCAAGCAATTAAAGGACATCACCTTGGTCACACAGCCAGTACATGGCAGAAATAGGACTTGAACCTCCCATTCATTTGGCTCTGTGTCCAGCTCTGTTACCCTGTGCTGTCTCTTACTGTAAAATAATGAGTCAGTCGGATCTCATCTATTTATAGTCAAAATGTGCACACTTATATGTACTGGGTAGCTATGTGCTCATAATTAAATGACTTTGTCTACAAAAGAGTTTAAAATTCTTAGAGATGACCAAGCCCTTAAAAATAAGGGTAGGGGGCAGCTAGGTGGCACAATGGATAGAGCACTGGCCCTGAAGTCAGGAGGACCTGAGTTCAAATCTGGCCTCAGACCAAACACTTGACACTTACTAGCTGTGTGACCCTGGGCAAGTCACTTAACCCCAATTGCCTTTAAAAAAAAAAAAGTGGGAAGTGGGGGCAGCTAGGTGTCACAGTGGAGAGAGCACCAGCCTTGGAGTCAGGAGTACCTGAGTTCAAATCTTGCCTCAGACACACAACACTCACTAGCTGTGTGACTCTGGGCAAGTTACTTAACCCCAGTTGCCTCACCAAAGAAATAAATAAGCGTAAAGCAAACCAAGAAAAGCTAGAACCCTGAATGGAGAAATACTGACTGGATGTCTCTGAAAGCTTCGGACGTAACCGCAGTGTAACTTGCCGAGCGGTAGTATGGGATTCTGTTTTGGTCCCCAGGGAGATGAAAGGTTTGAACCGTAGTTACATAGTTTGAGACTTTTCTGGCGATCTCCTAGCATGTCTGTATTACTGGAGTAGCACCCGTTAAAGAATGACAACCAGCTCTTTGTTATTTAGGAGTGAACTACTCAGTTGAAGATTATCCAAATAATTTGATTTTCTTTCTCACTTTGTGCCAGTGAGTTGGCACAGTGGATAGAGCGTGGACTTGGAGTTAGGAAGACTGGAATTCAAATTTGGCCTCAGACACTAACTAGCTGCATGATCCTGGACAAGTCATGTAACTTCTGTTTGCCTCAGTTTGCTCATCTGTGAAGTGGAAATAATAAAGCATCTACCTCTCAGGGTTGTGGTGAAGATCAAATGAAATAATATAAGTAAAGCACTTAGCACAGTTCCTGGCACATAATGGGCAATTAATAAACACTTGTTTCTTTTTTTTTCTTCCATTAGTTATTGATACCTCCATTGATCAATAGATAGGAGAAATATTATACTAGGAAAGGGAACTTCAACCAATTCTTTGTTTGTAAGATTGGTTCTGATCCGAGTTTTGTTGTATTAGGAAATTAAAGCTACGAGCTAAATTTAATTGAGATTATCTGTGGATTTTCTCTTGTGTCATCTACTTTTCCATTGCCATGGGTAACTGAAAGCTACCAACAAAGTCACAACAGAGCTTTCTCTGATCTTTCTTATTTTCTTTTCTTCTTGAGACTAATAAGCGTTCTTCTAAAATATTCAATTAATTGTGACCTGTTTCTCCATCAGTCTTTGTAGTTCTTGGAACCTGCATTGCAGTACAGCTGGGAACCAACCCTGACTGGATGTTCTTCTGTTGTTTTGCTGGGACTTTCATGTTTTACTGTGCACACTGGCAAACTTATGTTTCTGGAACGTTGCGATTTGGAATGTAAGTACCAAAATGGCATTTTAAAAACTCTCTGGAGTGTTGTATGTAGTTTGGATTTGTGTGTTTTAAGCAAGCTGTAACATTACTAAATTCATCAGATAAAATCATCTCCAGACCGTCATTCTTTTCACTTTTTACCTGATGATTTCTGTCGTCTCTTCTTAACATCCTTTTAAAAAAAATTAACCTAAAAAACATTTCTGCTACAAGAGAAAATGTACTCTTTTCATGTAAACAAAGCAAAGTTCCTTTATCCATTCCACTTGGAGGCCTGGTGATCGTTGAGTATTCAGTAAATGGTAACTAAGGATGGTTCTCCAGAAGGAAGAAAGTGTTTTCGGACGACAAAGGGCAGGTTTTATCTCTCTGAACACCAGGGCTTATAGTTATCTATTTCTTACATACATTTACCAATATACAGTAACCAAGTCCATGAGTTTTCTGTTGATAATGAGCACACCATATTGATTATTACTGCTAAGGAAGCATCCAAGAATTTTATAGACATGAGAAGAAAATCATGTGGTTTTACTAGTATCTAACAGGAGCTTTAATAAGTATTAAAAGCAATTAGATCATTACCCTGGTATTTGTTACAATATAATAGACCTGAGTGTTTATGCTTGTTATACTCTACCTTTGTGAGATTCTGAAAGAAAACTTTGTATGCTTTTGCAAACTTTCAGAAATTAAAGATGTCAAAATTATGCTAATGACATTTGACAGGGAACTATGTCAAATAATGTTCATTAAAGAAGAGTCATTAAGTCTTTTTAATTTAGAATCCCAAATAAGCACACTTTTTTCTAAGCATTAGATAAACCTCATGCCAAAAAGAAAATCATTATTTTACAGTAACTTTATTTAAAAAATTTTATTGCTAAACTTACTAGCAGTGACAAAGTAATAACAAACATTTTGAATAAAGTGAGATATTTCCCAGATAAGGGAAGTTGCAGGCATACAAGGTGGTATTAGTTTGTGTTATACATTCATTAAGCAATTTATAATTATCCAGGTAGTATTAAACTCTAAGCCTGTTAAACCAGAAAATATTCAAGATTTCTAGCAATTAGGAAAAAAAAGCCTAACTTATAGAATAGTATACTATACTATATATTGTGATAACCATTCTCAGCATTATGGAAAACGACAGTGTTAAAGACTAAATATTTCTTCTAATAAACTAGGAGAATCAAAACTCTCATAATAATAGACCCCTCTGAGACCACATGCTTTTCTTGATCTATTTTTCATTATTTGCATATCTGATTTGGAGATTTTGACTCAATTGTTATTAATATCACAACTTAGATGTCATATTATCTAAAATCCATAGCAACTCACATTCATTTTTGTGGATGATGTTGTTCCACGGATTTTTTTTTACCCCCATTTCCAAAAGAAATCAATATGGTGACAAAAATACTGTTCAGCATCTACTTGTTGTTTATTTTCTCTCTCCTTGGTAAAGAGGCACCACTCATAGAAAAGTAGGGAGAAGGGGAAGAAAGAGAGAATATTGAACCAATTAGATGCTCAGTGTAAGAATTTAATGCCATAGTTTTCTGTTTATCAGTTTTGAATTTCTCAAGTTATTTTTAGTCTTGTGTCCTATTTCCCTTGTGGGTATTTGCTTTTTTTGGGTGAGACATAGATTAATGAAAATAGGTGATAGGAACTTCTAATCGTTGGTGTGGGCCTTCAGTATTTGCCGGGTAACGAGGACTGGCTGGACTCTTGGAAAGCTGTTGGGAATCAGAAGACAAAGTCGGTTGGGATTGGAGAATATGTCTCTTACGAGAGTCTCAAATAGGCAAAGAATGGAAATAAAGATAAAAAAGGCTGGCATGATTAGGAATGACCTTTGCCACAGAGCCCTGCTATGGAATGGTGTGAAGAAGATAATGAAGTAGGAAAAAGAAGGAATTCTGAAAAGGATTCCACAGCTAAAGATTGTCCAAAAAAAAAGATAAGTCAACATCAGAAGTGAAAAGGAAGGCAACCCATGTGGTAGAAGAAAACAATCTTTAATTTACTTTAAGTAGAATAAATAAACCATAATAACCTCCAAAGATTAGTATGGATTTAAAACTTAGAAATCAAATACTGAATTTGGCATTACAAAGAACGTAATATTCAAGTTTCAGAACATTTTTGCCATAAAATACTCTGAAATTTCTTTTAAAATAACCTTTTAATATTGAAATGTCAGAAATACAAAGCTATAATATTCATGATAAAGATGATGTTTTTTTTAGGTTCAGTGCGGTAATGACTGAAGCATTAAAAAATTTTTATTTACCATTTTGGAAGTTTAATCAGAAATTTACAAGGTCAGAGTGGCATTGAAAATTTAGGAATTAGTGTTTTAACTTTGCTGAAAGCTTTTCTCCTTTTATTTTGTTTATTGCAAAGGGAACATTTAGAATAATACCTCATTCAAAATACTCTAAAATGATACTTAGAGATGCCATTTAAGGGACCTCTACCTATAGAAGAATTTCCAAGGACCTGCTCTTTCTTATCTCACACACTGCTAAATGATACAGCAGTCTGAGCACATTGGATAAATAGACATGTGGTTAATTGTTGATGTAGACATATATTTATGGTGAGAAGGAGAAAATTCAATTTGTTTTCCATAGGTAGGGGAAAGAGGTAAGCACTGAACTGTAATTTCAGTAACAAGGAGAGGTCTATACCTTAGAAAATAAAGAATAGGATTTAGAAATTCTCTTTTTTTCTTAGAGTGGCAGCCTCTTGGAGAGGTATAAGCTTGATTTTTAGAATTGTATTTGTTTTGTTTTATGAAGTAGTCTTCCATACATGTGGTCAACAATTAAATTTCCTTTTATACATACTATGAATTGTTATATTTTAAAATTTGAAAAGTATAGTGTTTGTGAAATTTAGAACATTTACCAACTGCCATTTAAAAGTTAGCTTTTAAAATTTTGTTAGTCTTGCCACAAGCTCAGAGGAATATAGCCATGGTAACTTTGTCAATGACTACAAATCTTACATTATAATTTAAGTCTAGAATTCTGGGAAAGTCAGTAATGGTTTTGAATGATAATCATTTACATATTTTAAGAGGAGGAAACGAAGATTCAGGTTAGGTGATTTGCTGAAAATCACAAAGCTTGTAAATAGTAGAGCTAGTCCTTGAACCCCTGTTCTTACCCAAAGCCAGGGTGCTTGCCATTCTGCCATGTTGCCTCAAATGTGTGTAACTTCTCTAAAGTTTTGGGATAGAACTTCAGCTTTCTACTCCAAAACTAAAAGCTGCCTTAAGCAGAGAGCATTGGTACCCAGTTTTTCATTAACAGGCCCAGCGTAGCCCCAAGAGGAAGAACTTTTAAAAAGACCATTTGATGCAGATACAAACCCTCAATGGGACCACGTCAATAGCTCCAGCCCCATTTCAACTACAGCACCTTTTGGGGAGTAAAAGAAGCCTGGATATGACAAAACCAAAGACCAAAAGGGCTAAAGACTAGAACAGAAATAACGGAGAGAGAAAAAGACACCAACCTAGAGTGGAAGATTAGGATATATTCTAGAATTGTTATGTTAGTATGGTAATAATTTGGAAGAGCATCAATGGAAGACGCTAACTGGAAAAACTTGGTTCCACTCTACTGAACCTTTCTGTATGTAATTTACATATTATTATCTTTTTAATCAAAACACTTAAATGATAACATGCATTAATACTTAAGTATTTGCTCAACAACACTGTTTTATGCAAAATCCAGGCTTTTAAAAAACAATCCACAAATTTCTTTTGTGGCTAAGAGAGAGCTCTTGGCTAATTAAGGTAATTTGTTAGGCAAAAAGGAAAATCAAAAACAGTTTTGAATTGAAATCAGACCAGCAACATCCTGTCACAAGTGTTGCATTGATTTTTGTCTCAATTTTATTGCCCATAATTATGACCCACTGTATATTTGCTGTGTGACCTGAAGCAGATTGTTTTCTCTAAACCAGTTTACCCCACCTTAAAATGAAGGGATTGAACTAGTTGACCTTAAAGGTCCCTTTTAACTCTAAAAGTCAAGTAATTCTGTTTGTAAAACTAGATTGCAAAGTTAATAGCTATTCAGGGTTGTTATAGTGTAGTGTATTTCCTATGTATACCTCTTACAAAAGCAAATTACAGAAGGTAATTTTCACATTTATTATGTTTTGTACAGTTTGTGTTTCTAAAGACTGACATTAATTGGGGCAGCTAGGTGGCACAGTGGATAGAGCACCAGCCCTGAAGTCAGGAGGACCTGAGTTTAAATCTGGCCTCAGACCAAACACTCAGCACTTACTAACTGTGTGACCCTAGGCAAGTCACTTAACCCCAGTTGTCTAAAACAAACAAACAAAAAAAGACTGACATTAATTAAAAGTTACATTTTTTAAAATTAGTCATGTCTTTATAAGTAAATTGCAGAACAGTTGCTGATCTATATTCATGGAAAGCATTTTCCTCACCAAGAGTTCCTGGTAAAATCATAGGTCTAGACCAAAAACAAACAGAAAAGTGTTGCTGTTGAATGCACATAAATTCTTATATGTATTAAAAATTTAGCAGTCCTTATTTGAACTCATTATACTTTAAAGGTGTTATTTTTCAGTTTATTCATACATTTCCCTTTTCAGCAATTCCAACAAACCTTGACACTGCCCAGTTATCCTAAGTATAATTTACACCTCTTAAATTCATTTTGATTTGCTATAGATAATATCCCCAAAGAGCCCACTCCGTGTTATTTGGGATAATATCAAAAAGTATAATAACCCAAGTGAAAACATACTCTTAAAACATTAAGTAAAATCTCGTCAGCTTGTTAGAATTGTGCTTTGTAGTTGCTAGCCTCTGCTAATCTCTTCATTTTTTACTAACCAGCTATTACCCCATACCCTCCAAAACTGTACTGAGCCAGAGACATTAGAGAGACAGTCACTAGAATGAGAGTTAGAAGACCTGGGTTGTAGGCCCATCTGTGCTACCAGGTTGCTCTGTGAACTTTGGCAAAGCCCTTAGGCCCTTTCATTCCTATGTTCCTCATCTGTTGTAACAACGATAACAACAACAATAATAATAATCTAGTTAACATTTTACCTTCTTTACCAACCGTGAGTTAAGCATTATTATTATCCCAATTTTACAGATAAGGGGAGAAGTTGAGAAGAGGTTAAATGATTTGCTCAAGGTCACACAAACAGGATCCCAACTCAGTTCTTTTTGACTTCAAGTCCAGTGCCTTATTTTCTCTCCCACCCATCTTCCTTGATGAGTATCCATTCACACTTATGTAGCATTTTAAGGCTTGCCAAGTCTTCTCCTCACAACAAACCTCAGGAGGCAGAGAGTGGAAGTATCACTGTACCATTCTGTAGTTGAGGAAATGGAACCAAAAAGACTTGTCAGGGTCACTCTGAATAAGTGGTAGGGCCAGAACTCGTGTTCCCCAACCCACACCGTGTCCTCTTTTCCATCGACACTGATGTAGTTTTATACTCTGAAACAAAGGCAGCAAGAGGGCTTAAATGCTCGTTAGGTTAGAAAGAAAAGAATTCGAGCCAGAATTTAGAAGTGAACAGGTCTTGGGACCACGGCATAGCCAATTTAGCTTTTGGTGTGATCATACCCAGAGAAGAGTGTATACTTCTGACAATTTAAGGTTTCTTCCCCTCACTGTTTCTGGGGTTGCCACACTGAATTGCTCTGACCTCTACCGGTTCCCTTTTAGATGCCTGTTATAATTTCTCTCAAAGAGAAAATGGTGGGACTGTGTTGGGAACACTGGAAACTTGGGAAAGATGAGAAGGGACTCTTTAGGCATCATATAGATATTTTTCTCTTGGTGCCAGCCTAGAAATAATACACCAAAAAGATACCTGGTCAGATGTCAGTGCAGACTCTAAAGGGCTCTATAGATCAGACAGATCGTAGTTATTTGCTAACTGGATGTTCACCCACAGGTAAGTGAGAGCTGACAAAATGTGTCTGATCTTGATGTTTTCACGATCCTTTTTCCACATCAGTTTTTTAAATTGCATTCCTATTTGTTTCATTGTCCTACTTTCAATTTAGTTAAGAAATACACTTTTATACACGAGGACAACAATAAAAGCATTACTGCATAGAGCATATTGCCTAGTCTCTACCTGTCATCTTATAGGATGTTCCTTTTAAATGAAATCTATGTGTTACTTGTTTTAGTGGGGCTGTTTGGTGGAAGTAGTGAGGAATATTCTTTCAACATGTTTTTTTCTTTTTTTCCCCTCATATAGATTCAGTGTTACGGAGTCCCAGACCCTAGTTATAACATCCCAGCTTCTCACAAGAACCCTAGGGCCCTGGTTATGGAACTTCACAGGCTGTTTGTTTGATGCTCTATATAAAGTTATTCAGAATGTTTTTTTCCCTCACACATAGATTCGATGTTACAGAGTCCCAGACCCTAGTTATAACATCCCAGCTTCTCACAGGAACCGTGGGACCCTGGTTCTGGAATTTCACGGTAACTGCTAGTATTAATGCGCCCGATGGAGAATGGCATGGAGTCTGCAAAAGACAGCCCCTTTGTCATGCACAGAGCAATCCTGCAAATCAAAGTCTCAAACAGATTGGCTCTTCCAAAAAAAAACCAAAACAGTCTTAAGGCTTAATGTGTAATAATAGGGCAATAAAAATCCATCCTATTGGAAACAGATTTTTAAAATAATCCTTTTGGTGATTACTTGAATATAAAATTATTCTTTTTCCACTAGTAAAATGAGTAGACAAAAGCATCTCTGGTAGACAAAAATCTGTTTAAATGTTTGTTATTTTTGGTGTATCTTAACACTTTTTTAAACAAAACCTTTCCACCATTAAATAGAATCACTTGGGTGTTTATGTTTTGGGAGACTGGAAAATTGCCAGTAGGATGTGCCTCAGATAAGTCATTCAGGGAAGATTCTGCTTTTTTCCCCATGTCGCCTATAACCTTTCGCATCTGAAGCCTATCCAAAGAAGTTTGTGTTTGGTACTTTATGAAAATGAACAAGTATCTTTATTTTCCAGCTTTCTTTCACTCGCTGGTCACTGTATTCCAGTGCAGTTTTCTTCTCTGTCCTTTTCTCTGAAGAAATTGTGGTGACATTTTCCCTCTTTAATAAGTGCTTCAAACTGAACTGAGTATTATCAGCTTTTTGGATCATGTTAGTTGTCCTTCAAGCACTCTCTGTTTTGGGAATGTTTTTGAAGAGAACACATCTCCCAGATAATGCAGCGTAAGGAATCAATATGTCCCATTGCCCCGCACCTCGGAATTGACCGTAGCCTGAGACTTTAAAAATATGTGTCTATTAGGAATATTCATTTTCCAGAGTGAATGTACCTTAATCTTCAGCCTTTTTTTTCTTGCCACAGGAATAGCAGTGCTTCATTTCCATAGTTTAACAGTGGGAAAAGTGTTCTGAATGAAATCTGGTAGCTGAGTCTGCCATAGCTAGATGAGTCAGTCGGCTGTCTAGGGCTTCCATTGGTTTTCCCACAGTAAGTACAATGGAATTGGAAATGTAAAGCTTTCAATATTGTTTCCATAGTAGGAACAGTGATGTCTCATGTCATTTGAAAGTTGTTAAGTCCAGTTATTAAATAGCGATAGCATGGTCTTGGGGCTGGAAAATGACTTAAGTCATCAATATCCTTTCTTAATCTAAATTTTTTGGTTAGCTGGAAAGCAGCTAACTACAGGCAGTTTAAAAACACGGAGGTCATTTTGTACGTGTATTCATGTAGTCACCTGGTACAAATCCAGCTACATTGCCAATTATCATTCCAATCTAAAGTGTTCCTTTATAACCTTCAGCGTAGACCTTCTACATCTTTCTGAGAGTAAAGGGGAAGAGAAGTAGAATTATGTTTTTAGTCCCTGAGTTTTTTTATTTTCTATATCACTACTCTTGATGAGTAGATGATGAAGGAATGATTGATGAAGCACTCTACTGGAGTACTTTTTCCTTTTTAAAGATGACAGTATATATTTTACATTTATGGAGTGCTGTTTGTTGAAATGTTTCTAGTAGAAAATGCATTTTAATATTACAAAATACCATTTTAAAATAGTTTCTATTTTTTGTAATTATTGCTTCCTGTTTTTGAATGGTTGCTCATTTACAGAAACTTATTTTTTAAACTTATGCTGTATCATCATCATGTGAAGAGAAATTTTTAAATTTACCTCACTCCCATATTTAGCAGCATTAAGGAATAATTTCTGGGGAAGTGCTTTGGTATTTAAAGTCTTATTCTTCAAATACTCAAAAGAGGTGCTTATTTCCACTCATATGTAACTGATATTATTGGAAATCATTCAGTGTATCTTAAAGATTTTTCTATGGGTAGAACATTTGAGTTGAAATTCTGTACTCGGGTATGTATCATCCAATCAATCATATGATTACCTAGTCATATTCTGAAGTTCTTTTTGTTAGTCATTTTTCAGTTGTGTCTGACTCTATTTTGGGGTTTTCTTGGCAAAGATATTGGAATGATTTGCTATTTCTCCAGCTCATTTTCACAAGTGAGGAAACTGAGGCAGAGTTAAGTGACTTACCCAGGGTAACTTAGCTAGTAAGTATCTGAGGCAAGATTTGAACTTGGGAAGATGGGTCTTTTTTTTTTAAGGCAATAGGGGTTAAGTGACTTGCCCAGGGTCACACAGCTAGTAGTGTCAAGTGTTTGGTCTGAGGCCAGATTAGAACTCAGGTGCTCCTGACTTCAGGGCGGGTGCTCTATCCACTCTGCCCCCGATGAGTCTTCTTGATTCAAGATCTGGCAGTCTTATCTGCTCCACCATTTAGCCACCCTTCTTCTGAAGTTTACTGTGCCCAATTTCAACTCCATAGCTTTCATAAAAACAAAGTATATTAATGATGAGGAGATAACATGAAGAGGTAATTTATAGGTTTCATCCTCTACTTGTTAATGAAGATAACATTGCTATTTCCAAGTCTTCTGTTATTTTCCTAGTCCTTCAGAACTTTTTACTAGCGATTATTGATAAACCAGTCATTTCATTATCTAATGCATTAATAGTCAAGAGAACATTTTCGAATAGACAAACTTGCTGACCTTTAGAAATCAGGCTGCAGATTTGCATCATTCTTTTTGTCAGTATGCATTTATTCAGCACTCACTGTGTGCCAGACACTTTTGCTGAGAGTCAGGGACATAAAGAAAGGCAAAAAGCAGTTCCTGCTGTCAGGGAGCTCAGAGCCTAATTAGTGTCCTTTGTGATGTGAGCTAATCCTTAACAAGGCTGATCGCTTGCCCGAATTATAGTACATCTGCATTTGTCACTTTAGATGATTGTAAAAAAGCATACAGTGTGTGTATACCTGTCTATACATGCATATTTCTCATATACATATAGGTAGTATAGTGACTAATGCTCAGGACTTGGAGTCTGGAAGACCTGAGTTCCAATCCTGAGACACTTATTATTGTTCAACTCTGGGCATATCACTTAACCTCTCTGCCTCAGTTTCCACATCTGTAAAATGGGGGTAATAATAACACCTATTGTGAAAATAAAATGAGTATAATATTGCAAAGCTTAAAGCAGTATATAAATGCTATTATAAAATATCTTTGAAACCCTTATATCTTGTGCAGTAGAAAAATTAAATTAGTACAAGGTCTAGATTGTTTTGAGAAACACGTTTCCTAAAACATGAGGCAGGAAACACAGTATGCCTGAAGACTCCTGCAAAGTTTTTACTAGGTGTTACAGTAGATAGAGTACCAGGCCTGGAGTTAGGAAGACTCCTCTTTTTGAGGTCAAAATCTGGCCTCAGAAATTTATTATGTGACCGTGCACAAGTCATTTAGCCATGTTCGCCTCAGTTTCCTCATTTATAAAATGAGCTGAAGAAGGAGATGGCAAACCCCTCCAGTATCTTCGCCGAGAAAACCCCAGAAGGGGTCACCCAGAGTTAGACACAGCTGAAATGACTGAACAGGAACAGCAGCATTGATAAACCACTTCGATTAACTCGTGCTTTAATAGTCAAGAAAACATATTCAAATGGATCAACTTGGTTACCATAGAGCTTGTTAACTCTCAAACTTGCCAATTTATTCCAGCTTGTTGGAAATTCAAACCCAGTATGCTGATTAGTTGCTATTTCTTAACTCTGAGAAACAAAAGTTACCCTTTCACTAAAAATTAATGTTTCTCATTATTTTTATCCCCACTTAGAGTGGTCTGAAATCTTCTTTCAGTTGTTTTTGATGCCTGTGGATTGCTAAGAGAGGCAGAGGGCCACACTGGTTAGAGGGCTGTCCTTGGAGCCTGAAAACTTGGGTTCAAATTCTACGTGACATTTACTAGCTGCTTATTTTACCTTCTGGTGCCTCAGCACTGTAAATTGCAAATGAATTACCAGTTTATCTGTAGATGGAATCCTCATGAAATCATTCCTCTGAACCACAGTCTTGTTGAATTTTTATCTTCCTTTATCCCTGTTCAGAGTCCTTATTCACTGTCCTAATTTGATAGTTTTATCCATACTTTCTTCCCTTGATTGATAGAAGGGCATAGCTCAGCCCCCCCCCCCCCAGTCTAAGGGACCCATTTCACTCTTTAGGAGGGAAAGTATCTGGTCATTTAGGAGGCTTCCTTTTTTTCCCCTATCAAGGAGGGTTTGGTTTAGGTAGTTTATTTGACATTGACAGTAAAATGTTATTTCAACCTTTGGTTGGGAAAACCCCACACAGCTGTCAAACTGATATGCCTAAAGCACAAGTCTGACTGTGTCACTGCTCTGAGCAAGCTATAGTGATGGGCTCTTGTCTGGAAGGTAAAATGCTTGCTTGAAGTCCTTCACAGCCTTACCCACTGACTCCAGGCTTGTCTTTCTAGGCTGATTGCAGCCAAAGCAGCCTCCCTGCTGTGCCCTGTATATGGCATTCCCTCATCTGGCTCTGGACTTTTCACAGGTTCACCAAGTCCTACAGTGCTCTTTCTTTTCATCTCCACCTGTTGGAATCCCTAGTTCCCTTCAGAGGTCAGTGCAAGGGCCACTTCCAAGAGACTTTGCTGATCCACCAGCTGGTACTCCACCATTACCTATCAAGCACTTTCTTTTTTTTTTTTAATCTGTAACTATGTTGTATCCTCTTCCCCCCAGTAAGAATGTAAACTTTTCATCCCAGCTTCCACACAGTGCCCTGGCACATAGCAGGCCCAGTCAAAGATTTATTGATTTGAGACAAAAAAAGTGCCATGTGGATATCCTCACACAGAAGTTGAGATTCCTTGAGTCATTTTTTCTTTCCTTCTTTTTTCACTGGCAGCCAATGGAAGGTTTGGTTGGTATTACCTTTTTAATATGAGCATGATTGTACCTACCTCCAGAATTTTTAGATGAAGCTCTCTTTTATTCCTTTGCAACCTGTACAGAATTCAGACTATATTCAGAGTGAAATCTCAGCTTCTCTCTAGTTTCAGAACTCTTCTGAACTCATTAG